CTGGCACTGTTAATATCAAAACTCCACAAATGAGGCATGGAATGGCGACACACAAATAAGTCCTAGAAGAACTTGACAGCAATAAGGACTGGTTTGGTTTGAATAGTTGCACAGAATTCCGCTTGTGCCTGGATCAGAATAGTTTGCTTCTGCAACACTACCGAAGAAAACGCATTAGCAAATAAAACGTACACCTTCCGTCTGTGGAACATGCGACCCAGTGATTCTGTCGAGGCCAATCGTGGGCACGACTCCAAGGCTGCGACACGCTGACAAGACACCGTAAAGGACTGTGCTTTCAGGGTTGCCATGTTCACAGAGAATTCGATCATTTTCCGGGATGGACAGCTGGGAATAAAGTGTCCATTGCCATAAGGAGGTGAATATTTAGAAGTAGCTCACAAAACGAAACCAAGGCGAGACACAGATGGACACCAAATAGTTTTATTGTGCAGAGTGTAGTAACGATTATTTGCTTACTTGTAGAACAGACCTACCAAAAATGATTTAATGCAGTGTCGCTTTGTGAGCTGTTCAATATCGGAGATGGTGCCAACCGACAGGTGCCGTATGCCCGCCCTGACTGCGACGTTGCAGTGGACGTGTGTAGTTTGCAGGGCCTGCAGGTACGCAGCGATTGCGCTCAGCGGCGAATGCCCATCATCACTGTACACCGTGTCAACTAGAATCATGTATCACCAGTTTCAGCTTATTTTGATGATCAGAAGCGGACGACCACAACAACACCATAGCGTGGCATAGAGTGTTCTGCATATTTGTCTTCTGTTCCATTTGCGTCTCTCTAGCTCACATAAAGCGCTATATTACACGCTGGGGTCAAACTGAGGGATTTGCGCGAAACATTTCGGCAACGATGCTACTGGAATAGATTTGACCTGATGGCACAAGCAAAGCCATGAATGAGCTATGATTAGCACCTGAGTTGATAATGGGAAAAAAAAGACATATTTAAAGGACTCAGAAGGAGCTCACCGATGGTAGTGACTCCGGCTAGTACGGATTGCGAAGTAGCATCACGAATCAATGCCTGATCGGCCATTCCCTCCACACCGAGTTTGTTACTGAACGCATTACTTGTAGCTGAATAATCGACCAGTCCAGGGCTAATAACGAGATTTGTAGCGTCGATTTCTTGGACGTTTTTGTTATTATCCAAGGTCTCACCAATTGCCCTGAAAGGTGGCAACAAAAATCGGTGTTACCATGGTTTTGATAGCATTACGCTAGACCTATGGAAAGCTGAGTTATGCACGTATTGACTTAATTAAGTCTGGGGTTGTCAAGATGGTGATGTTGTGGTGGGAATTTATATGCCTGATTCAGAACTTACATGTTCAACGAAACAAAATCAAACAAGCTTTCAAGAGAAGGACTATTTTGCTATGCAGCGCGTATCTGCTTCGGGGAAACATTGGGGTTCAGAAATACAAGTTTTGGTCTCTGTATGGCTGCAAATTGTTCTAGGCACGTCTTCGAAGTTTTCAATTTTTATTATATCTGTTTCAAATGATAGGCCTTATTAGATCTCATTCGGTGATCAGAACAAATGAGGATTCGTATATGCAACCTGGAATGGGGCTTCAACTACGATTGTGAATTAATGTTCTTGCCTGATCTTCCCTCCAATTATGAGAATGTCGGCATTGCACATATTTTTACAATCCATGATTCTTCCACCCCGGATGAAAAGGTCACCAGTCATCTTAAAAGAAATGATCAATTCAGTGTAAATAAACCCGCTTGTTGGAGTTTCAAACAACATAATGCCTTCACCTCCACTGTACTATCACTTACATTCCAAAACAACTAGGAATAGAACAATCAGCTCTTTCAAAATGTATTTTAACTCGCATGTGCATCGTGAGATTGACGTGGGTACGAACCGTTGGAGCTGCTTCCACCGCTTGCGTGGGTACCCCAGAGGCAGGAGACGAGTTGTCTCGGTCGATCAGTTTATGTGTTAGCTGACTACCTGAAATAGGTCCTGTGTTCTGTTCTCCAATACCTGGCGGTGTTTTGGAATCGTTTGGATCTGCTATGTAGCCAAAAAGGCCGCCTGATGTTCGCCCTACCGATGGACGCTTTTGTTGAGAATCACCCTGCAAACCCGGAACGATTCCGAGTCGATCCCACTCACCGTTGCTCATTCCACGGTGCAAAATTAGTTCTGAAAACATTCAAATCCGAAGCTCAGCCCATCACTGAGCTGACGCATCAATAATTTGAACGAAGTGATCGACTCGCCTATCGATCCCCGATCAAACCAGTGAATTGGTTCGCTCCCACCCTATCCACTACAACGTACCAATCACTTCCCACTGACTGGGTATTTGATGAACATCTCCCATACCCATCTGTACTGAAAAACGCCGCCCTCTGATTGCTACAACCACCATAATTCTTGCGAGAACTAGTACGGTCATTACAGCCCGCCACCCTGAACCAATATCGGATTTTGCTCCCCATTACGAAGCTGTGCCTTACACTGCACACCGAGTAGAAATACAACGGCTACCGTAGCCAAGTCCTAATTATGCAGAGCGCAGAACTTAGGAACGGCACCATTCAGCGACCCAACGCTAAGGGAGTAGAAATGTAACAGCTATACCGGATTAATATGATGCCACGCACCCTACGGTCAATCTCCAAGAACAACTGGAGGTCATTTGGAGGCCTCGATTTGGTCTACGGACACCAACCCAGTCGCACAAGAAAAGGACGATCGAATGAATAATTGGCAATGACAATGGCTTAATAAGAAAGTGGTGCGAATCAATAGCTACTCAGCGTGTTCTTCAGGAAGTCCTAATGAATTAATTTGCGAAGCCCTTTCGATTCCATTTGGAAATGCTGAAGAGACTGCTTCGATTATCTTCTCAATCTGAGGTGGGGTAAAGCGAGTGTCCAGGTCCGAAATCATCTATAAGCAAGTGAAATCAAGTTCAACACGATCCTAGCAGGGAACAAGTGAAAATGGAACATTACATAAGTGGGCAACAGCACGCAATTACACCACTAATCGAAATTCCAAGTCGGATAGACCTAGTCGGTCATATCCTTTCGTGCAACACAATTAAATCGTCTCATAATTATCTCTACAAGATGATGAAGATTTCGTCCTACTTCTACACTTGATGACAACGCATTCGTAGGAAAAGGCATTTACGCAGGAAAATGGATGGCTTTGTATGAACTCGGAAAAAGTGAGCGAAGAGATTACCACTGAAAGTTCAACTTGAGTAGATGGACAGTTATTAATCAGCGCAAGCAACTCAGGCTTCTTCAAATTGAAGTGCTTCACGGAAGTGATGAAAGATTGAATGGCATCCGGGGTTTGAACGGTACACGAAGATTTCTCGTTAAAATATTTCATCCCAGTGTAGAGAATTGTTTGCTGTGCGCGAACCTTATCCTTTGACTCCATGCGTTTTTTCATAAAGTCGTACACTTCAAAGTTTGTAAGTGGCCGTATATCATTGAAGCCAATATCCATTGTTGGAGCATCGGCGAGAATAGTCACGTATTATGTTTACAGCCGCGTAGCCCACAAAGCTTCTAGAGGAGTTTGACAGTGAAACGCTCATAAGAAGGCTAAAATATTTTGGGGTAGCCAATCTACAGCAGAGATCACGCAAACCCCTTAAACTCAGGCATAAGCGTTCGGAAAGACCATCAACAAAAAGTGATAAATTGATTGAATCCTATCAGCGTGAATTGAATTGCAATTCGAGTAAATCGGCGGAACACCTAAGCCAGCAAAATCTAATGCGTGGAAATGCACCACGTATTTTAATGAGTAAGATGATACAGTAATAATATAATGCTCAAAATTTGAGTCCGCCT